AAATAAAAGCCTGGAGACGAGACGGGGTGTGTGGAGTCAATACAACCTATTTATTTCAATGGATTACAGTACAATTATGTTCCCTGACTCAGGGTACTGAGATATACCCTTGAGGGTACCACCCCAGTGACAGTTTACTACCTTTATTTCCGAGAGCAAACAGTAGACGTGGTAAATACGTAAAAAATCTAATATGTTTAGTTGTTTGGGCTTCTGTGTAAACTTACTGTTAAATATGTTTCCTACTTTTTTCCCCAAGATGCCAAAAAATTATTAACCTACTAGAAATTTTGACTACAAATTAAGTCATTAAAGTGTGGTATTTTACTTATCCACAGTACTGTACCTGCTAAGGATGTTTCAGATACAGCTAATACCAAGCGTGTTTGAGTTTCCCTTAAAGGCCTGTGTAATGATAAGGAGAATAATGCAGCCAGTGTGCTTAGTTCTTAAGCAGGGGAAGGGTTGAGAGGGATTTCGGCATTTCCCGTAATCACGTTGGTTTCGGTCACAGCTAGAGGATTGGTCATGCACGTTGTGAGAACGGCGGCCCATCCGGACCTCCGTTTCCCTCCAGAGATGAGCACGAAGCTGGGGGGGGTTATGTTGTTGAAAAAGTGCGAGAAAGAGTTCCTGGAATTTGGTTCAGCAAGATTTAAGGAGGAGGCGAAGCGTTGTGCAGGCGTGGAGCAGATGAATCCAGCACAGACTGTAGATTTACTATCCACCTGAAACCACGGTGGAGAATTTTAACCCTTCGACATGCAGTGCCGGCCCGGGGAGCGATCGCAGCTTAGAGTGGACGGGTTTATCTGCTAAAGCAGACAGCAGCGGCACACCTACTTAAACTAAACCCCCTCTCCTGCCGCTCCTAAAATAAATAAATAAATCAATTCAAGTCCAGTGAGCCAGTCTAGTGGCCAGCACAGCCCCATCCATCAGCCCAGCATGGCCCAGACTGGTGCTCCGTCTGTATGTAGGCCAAAGGAATACATAACACCAGGGGCAGGGCAGTGTTTGGGAAATGCTTTATGGGTTTAGCTGAAGTTTGAGTGGTTATTTTTAGCTCCGTAATTCTTGATGGATTTTAAAAGGCAGGAGACATGAAGGCTCGGTTGTTTTTTTTTGAGAAAGCAGGAAAAGAGAGCTGTGGGTTGAAGACGAGTATCAGTGTGCATACAGTAGTTTCGCTGCTGAGATTGTTGTTCGCTGTCCTTAAAGATCCTGCACTCAGAGCAGGGAAGGCAGCTGCACCCCTGATGAGCGCTGGATTATATAGGCTCTTAAATCAAAGTTGCACTCAGCCAGAAACATAAGCAAGAAACAGGACATGTTCTCTCTCTCTCTCTCCTCTCTATCTCTCTTTCTCTCTCTCTCACTCTCTGTTCTCTCTCTTTCTCTTGCTCTTTTTCTTTCTTGCTCTCTCTCTCGTTCTGTTTTTCTCTTTCTCTCGTTCTCTCTCTTTCTCTCACTTTCTTTCTCTGTTCTGTTTTTCTTTTTGTTTCCTTCACTTTGCCTTTCTTTCTTTCTTTCTTTCTTTCTTTCTTTCAGTCTCTCACTGTTTATTTTTTCTCTTTTCCTCAATCACCCTCATATTCTCATTCTCTCTCTCTCTCTCTCTCTCTCTCTCTCTCTCTCTCTCTCTCTCTCTCTCTCTCTCTCTCTCTCTCTCATGATGCACACAGTTCTCTGTCTGTTTGCTGGTGTGTTACTCTGGTGTTTGTTCTGTCCTATAGCTGTAGCCCCCCCACCCAGTCTCAGTGCGGCCCCTCCGGCCCGCTCCGCTCCGCTCCCCTTGCTTTGCTTTGCTTTTTCCAGCTGCACTGCTGACATCACCGGCCATGTGGGATGAGAGCAGGTTTGGAAAGAGGAGCGCGTTTGGCTGCGGCTCGGTGGCTGGACAATGCAGCCAGTGTCCTCCGAAAGGGCCAGCTGGAGTGGAACTCCAAATCCCCTCTCCAACTTCTACTCTTCGCCTTTTTTCTCTTTCTGCACCCCCCCTTCTCTCTCTCTCTCTCTCTCTCTCTCTCTCTCTCTCTCTCTCTCTCTCTCTCCCTCTTTCCCTCTACTCTTTTCTCTCTTTGCTTTCTCATTCTCTCTCTTTCTTGCTTTCTCACTTTCTCTCTCTTCTCTCTCTCCCCCCTTCTTTTCAGTTATCCACAGTCTTTCTCTCTTTCTTTTCTTTCACTGTCATAGCTTTCTGTCTCTGATCTTTTTCAATCTCTTTCTTTCTGTTTGTCCTTTCTCTCTTTCTGTCCCTATTTGCATTCTCTCTCTTTTCTTTCCCCTCTCTCTGTGTCTCTCTCTGTTTCTTTCCTGTTGGTTTGTGTTATTCTGTCTCTCTTTCTCTTTTTGCTTTCTCCCTCTTAGTTTTCTCGCTCTGTTCTTCTTTCTTTGCCTTTCCCTTCCTTCTCTCTCACTTTCTCAGTCCGCCCCCCCCATCCCCCCACCACCCCACCACCCCCCCACCCCGAGTCTATGTTCTTTCTCAGCAGGCCTCAGTTCACCCCTCTCTCTGAGATTGCTTTCCTCTGCTTACTCTGCAGCGCTGCATTGTGTAATCAGAAGCCTGTAATGGCTCTGGACGGTCATCCAGGCTCTTCCAAACTCCCTCCTGCTGTCTAGCAGGGTAAAGCCACCTGTCTGACCCAATCTGAGCGTGATTTGAGCTGTCCGGAGTTCAGGTCACGGCTCAAGGCCTCTCCTGCTCTCTGGTGGAGAAAAGAAAGATACAGAGGAAAAGTGATTACTCTCTGCTGACAGAAGTGCAGCTTCCAGCAACAACGTTGTATTGTAATATTCTCATTAACAGCCACTTCATTTAGTGTAGTATTTCTTGGGGGGTGTAGAGTCATCACTGTTCAATGTATTAGTTATTGAATAATCTACTGATTATTTTAGTGATTATTGAGATTTAAAAATGCAAATGTGTCCATCAGGTTTCTTAGTGTAAGATAGACCCGTAGGGGAAACTTTAAGTATCATCATCATGCAGATTTGCTTAATTTTAATATATACATAAATATATATGCAGCTGTATGCAAAGTCTGGGCTCTACTGGGCAAATTGCATGTTTTATTTATTTTGAAATGAAAATAAGTTAACACATCCTTTACTGAGAACACTCTTTAATACACATTTTAATGGACAATTACTGTTAAATTTGCTAAATTTTACATATTGAAGAAATGGCTTGTGCAAAAATTATGGCACCTTTTATATTTTGTCTTTTACCCCCATAAAATATGTATAAATTCTGCACTAAAATTTGCAGAAAAATTCTATATTTAAGTTTTTCCATGTAAAAGATGTGTTTTTTGCTTAGAAAATCAACAAAACGTGTAGTTTGACAACTTTTAATTGAGTAATTGTCACTTCTCACTTTGTCATGGTGCACATATGAGTTTGGAAAGCATAAACTGGACAGATTGAGTTTTGTCTCTTCTACTGTCCGTCCCTGTTCCCTCAAAATGGATGATGATGATCGTAAATATTTCTCTCCATCACAGTCAGATGGATGTGCTCGCTAATGATACTGTGCCTGCTTTAGCTTTTATACTTAAATAACCACTTGTTAATCACTTTTATATTGTCGCTCGTCACATAAAAGCTGCCCATATGGGTCATCAAATATATTGTCAGAGACATCAAATCGAAGCTGAATTGCAGTTTTATGGCATAGCTTGCTGGAAACATGATTGATGCTGTGACACATGGCCCAACGAGACACCGAGCGAGAGTTTGCATTGTGTTCGTTCAGCTCAGTGGCGCTCCTCTGTTCTTTAGAGTTATAGCTGGAATGCAAGGCAACCCCTCTTTAATCTTTCTACCAGCTCTGCATTCCTTGAAGCCCTTTGCTGTATCTGCTCATGCAGGTGGTTTTAAAGGGGAATTCCACCAATTTTTTTTAAATTTCTGTATAATTAAATGGTTAAGATGTAAACAAAGTCATTGTGATGTGAAATTTTATATTTTGAGATTTGTCCTCCGTGGCTTCTAAAGAGTTTAATGCCTCTAAAAGCTCCCTCACAGAAAGTTATGACATGAAATGGTTATAAATACACTGCCTGATGTCAGAGACATTGTTTTGTGATAATTTTGAGAAGGTTTTGGCCTAAAACCTTTTTTTTCATGGTACTGAGATACAAGCAGGATGTTGTGAGAAAGAATATGAACCCATAGAAAAGATTTTTTTTATACTAATTTTTGTCAATATTACATATAAAAATCGCAAGATGTGTAGGGTCACTAGATAGCAAATAAAATTATATGTTTATATTGTAGACATTGTGATCTCTGATTCCTTTTGCCACCACTTCAAAAAAATAAAATCTAGTCTGTAAGTTTCACTACAATGAGCCATTTCACGTCAGACCACTCTGAATAACCTTGTTCACATTTCAAAATCACGTTAAAGGTGGCGGGCATATATTTCACTGTTGTTGGTAGAAAACCTTATATCTCCAAAATGGTAACTTTACAGGAGAAGGAAAAAACCTACTTTGCTTTTAATGTAAGTCAATGGAACCAGAGTTTTTTCCAAGTAATTATGGATTTTTTCTTTTAGTCCATTCATCATGACATTTACACACAAAGTAAAGAGCAACATGCATTTTCAAATTATGTCAAAAACTGAAAAACAACAAAAATGGAGATCCAAATTAATCCAGGTAATTTAGAACCACTTCTATTGGTCCATTCATCATGAAATAATAACACAATGTAAAGGACGGCTGACTTTTAAATGGCGTAAAAAACACTAAGAAAATACGTTTTGAAGTTTTTTATGTGACTCTCATCTGTGGAAAGACTAACTGAAATGAGCTAAGTGAGCACATTTTTTCCTCACTAACCGTCTACAGGGTAAAATTAAAAGTATAACATGTTCACCGTAAGTACTTGCCAACGTTGCTTTTGAGACTTCGGTGCGTGTAAGTGTGTGTTTCTGTCTTGTATGTGTGTTTAAACATGCTTGCTGTGGTCTGTGTTGCCCTCTGCAGGACCCTCTGGACACTACACGTTCTGTGATAGTTATCCGCTCGCTGGTGGCCGGAGGGGTGGCTGAAAGTCATGGGGGCCTGTTGCCTGGAGACCAGCTGGTGTTTGTGAACAACACAAACCTGGATAGCTGCACTCTGACCCAGGCTGTGGAGGTGCTCAAGGCTGCTCCAGCGGGCAAGGTCTACCTGGGCCTTAAGAAGCCTCTGGGGGTAAGATTGATGCCCTACAGAGACAGACTACAGAGGTTTTAGTCAAAGAGGAATTGTTTATAGGCAGTCGAATGTGCAATTTATGTTTTCTTTCATTTTTACGGACCACCATCATCACCCTCAGACCCATTCTATGGACCGTAGGGTCTTTATTAGCAGTATAGACTTGAGTTTGTTTGGATGAATTTGGCTACTCCATAAAGAGATGGAAAATAAAGCAAACAAATCAGTGGGAAAAATAATAATAAGACTTTTATTTACAGGAAATATAAATAGGTGTAACAGTATTTGCCAAAACACACAATCATTGTCTTTGATACTTTATTTTCAAAGCTGAGTGATTGTTTGTGTATATAGGCAGTCAAATGCTCAACTTTTCTTTAAAATATTTGCCAAAACACACACAAACATAGTAATCAGTAGCTTGTCTGAACAAATAAAGCTGAAACACAGGAAGTATTTTATGCTGCAGGATTCTTTATTATCTGATAACAGATTATTAAATTATAGTGATGTGTGAATATTTATTTTTATCAAAACTGAAAGCACACATCATACAGTTTGAAATCAAATTACCATTGATAATTAAATTAGTGACATATAATAAGCTTTGCTTCTTTTGTGTGTGCCACCATATGGATATGTGTAGGTGTTTTACATTGAGGCAACAGACGGGTGAAAATATTGTGTAAATTAGGATACCATAGATAAAATATGCGCAAGTGGTTACCATATATAAAATACGATACACGTGGTGGCTTCTTCATTTGTTTTGTGGCAGTTTGGGTGGACCTCACCTTGGCATATCCTACAAGTACAACACATTCATTTCTCCAGATTACCCCTAGCACCACCTAGAGCTCTGCCAGTGCATTGGCTCTTGTGCAGTGTTTTGGCCTCTCTGTGAATCTCTTGGTAATGAATCCTAGTGCAGCCTTTGGAGTGTAATGCAATTCAGAACAATTGATGCAGAACAAGAATTAGAGTGAAATGGAACATTTGTGTCACTCTGTAAAGGCATTGCATCCCAGAGAACTCTCTATAGCAAGGATGACTTCAACACCTGCTCATTGGCTGCTACTATAAGTGTGTTTTGAGTCAACAGGTTTTTTCTTCTTTTATCAAATGCAGAAAAAAACAGTGAAAATTATGACCTGTAATAACTGACTGTATGTTTCAGAAGAGGCAGATAGAGATCAGGTCGAAACAGTTATGTTGCTGAGCTTTCTGTTGTTACATTTTCTAGTCCCTCTGATCCTCGTGTGTGTCCTTGACTCTAGGCAGAGGAGAGGAGCAGTGTGGAGCTTTCAGCAGAACTGCAGGAGCAGGAGCAGGAGCAGGAGCAGTCCCCGTCCCCTACCCATACTGATCTACCTGTGCCAAAGGTATCAACACCACTGAGCACTTCAGATATCAACTATTACTGTCATCTAGTCTCTCTCTCTCTCTCTCTCTCTCTCTCTCTCTCTGCACACACACACACACACACACACACACATGCAAAGTGTTCTGAGTGTTTTATACAATTTTAAATGAAGTCTTTTTAAGCCTTTGTAGTTTATCTTTTTGACTTATAGTACTTGGAAGAATAGAATTTTTGACCGGTTATGCGTTATGCATTGTGTGCTATTGCCCAGTTGAAGGGAGATTTCACCAATTTTTCAAAATTTCTGCGTAGTTTAATCATTAAGATATAAACAAAGCAATTTGGAGTAGTTTGAGATGGAAATGCTCCATTCTTGAGAAATTTACAGAGTCAGAATTGTTCACACTCTTGTTGAGAGGAACCTTACGTCTTAAGAGTTTAATGCCTCTTAAAGCTATATAACAGAAAGCTATTACATGAAAAGGTTTCTAAATGCTTTATGATAAATTTGCTACAATGTGTAAGAACAGACCATTTGTTTAAAAAAAAAAATAAAGATAAAAAAAAGGTGGAATTCCATTTGAATACATGTTTATTGTTTGGCCTTTTGTAAAAATTTTCATTACTTCATTAATTATCTAAATTAATAGCAAATTGGTTGATTACTAATATAATCAGTTGTGACAACTTTCTTAAAAGTTCCTTCTAATTAAATAAATGGCGTTTACATCACATGACAACACATTTGTTTCCATACCTGCTGCTTTGAACTTCAGCAGTCAAATGCTAATACCTGAAACTGAAGGTGGGCGATGGATAGAAGTAGAGGGAGGGGTGCATGAGGAGGAAAAGGAGGAGAAAACAGAAAGAACATGGACAGAGAGATAGTGAGAGTGGACCAAGCAACTAGTCCTTAGGAAGGTTAACTTTTAGAGGTGAAGCCCCGCCCTCTCCCTCTTAGCTTTTGAGATGCACGGCCGTATTATCCTTGAGTTTTAGCAAAGATGTAATTGAGGCGGCTGAGTCAAGTGCTGCCGTAAATCTAGCCAAAACGAGACTAATTGCGCCATTAAGATTTTAGACCCTGCACATTTTTCATGGCAAATTGGTTCTGGGCTCTATGAGGGGAGGGGTGTGAAAGGTGCTGAGTGTGCGGATCGGAGCGGCATGGAGAAAAGTGCACTTTCAGCTCTTATTATCTTTAAGAGTGTGTGTGTTGGACAGAAGAGGACAGGCCGGAACCCTGTTGCAGAGATGAAACGACTGCTTTATATGCAGTAGACGGACATCTTTCTCTCTCTTTGACTCTGTATCTCTCTGTCGTCATTGGTCAGATGTTTCTGATCCAGGCGATGAGAACATGGAGAGGAATAAAGAAGGAAAGAGAGAAGCAGCCCAGAAAGGAATGTGCAGACTTTTTTTTTTTTTGTGTGTAAGGATCATAAAATGAGGCACTGCGTCTTTTCAGAAGCATAAGGACGTGAGAGTTTCTCTATAGTGCTTCAGCAACAGGTTGACTGAGATCAGCTTGTTTATTTCTTAACTTTGTTTTAGCAGCTGGGACTTGTTGCATCTGTTTTACAGATCGTAACAGTCTGGGCTCTCTTTTCCAGAAGCCTCGTACTGTTAAAAACCACCTTACAAATGTAAGATAAAGCATCTCTGAACATTTTAACAGAGGCCTTTGCGCTGTAGCACCTTATGGAAGTTTAGCAAACAGTAAGATAATTTCAACCAGTTTCTTTAGCGAAACTTCAGCAGCTGTAATGTCGATTGTGTGGCTCTGCCAATATATACTATTGTTCAAGGGGGTAGACACATATAAAAAAAGAATGCACTGGCCACCAAACCAGTGTATCTTGTTGCCAAAAGGAGTAATTTGTGGCCAGAATTGTAGAAATGTGTTTATTTATGTAATTACTAGCATGAAATGTGTCATTTAAAGAGAAGAAACAGCCATGAACCCACACCAACAGAAGCTCACTACTGCACACATTTGCAGTCACTTTTCAATATGCGAGGTGAATATAGTTTACAACCAAAAGATGTCGAGCTACTCATATGTGAATTGTCAAGATTTTCATTTTATTGTTTAATGTTTACAAGGCACGTCCAGCTACAGATAGCAAAGGTCTAAGCTACAGCAGACCATGACTGTTGAAATAAATAGAAAATATTGTGCTGATTATTTTTTACATATCGTCCAGGTCCAGTAGTTTTGTTATTAATGGCTTATTAATTTTGTTAAAGGTGAATATCTGTAAATAGGTGAACATTCAACTGGTCTTGTAGTTTGAGAAAAAAAAGGGACAAAATGTGAAGTAATGCAAAAAAAAAATGCTAAGTAATGTGGAGTAAGTGGCCACTCAGGCCACAGGCTCTGCATTTTTATTGGCTAAAATATGATTAATTGTAGCGATGTGAAATATCCCTGTTGACAACAGGGTCAGCGGAAATATTGCCTCTTACACACTGATAATTAGCAGATGAAGCTGAGAACTACAATTGCTCAAAAATGAATGTGTTTACATGTACTCAATAATCCGATCGTAATAGGATTTCTGCAGTTATCTGACTTATTCAAATGGTCATGTAAACAGCATACCCCAATTTTTTAGATCGGAGAAAAATCTAGAAATACGATTAAGAAATCTGATAAAGAGGCTGGATTTTAGCTCCGTAATCAGATTTCTCAGTGCATGTGAACTCTTACTCTGATTTCTTTCGGATTTCTCAGTCTGAGCATGTGCAAAACAGACAGAGGTACTGGAAGTAAGTAAGCAGGGTTGCTGTGAGATGCAGCAAAACACTTTTAGAGTGACGCTGAAACCAACTACATTCTCAATGAAAGGATTTAAATATTCTAGGTGGTTCTAGATGATGTGTGTTCATATTTTCAGATAAAGTTTCGCGATGATAAAAAAAAAAAAACCCTGCTGCATGAAGTTTGAGTTTTACATTATGTTTGCGTAACATCCTTTTCTGTGAGTTTATTGGCTGGTTGCAGAACAGACATCTGATTACTGCCTGATTCATGTTGACCGGGACTTTTCCATTATCTGATTACTGAAGTGCATATAAATGTGTTGAGCAGATTACTGACAAAAAGCCTATCTTATCATCAGAATCAAAATCTTTTATTCAACAATTTTGGTGTAGGTGTCAGTATAAATTCCAGTATAACTACATAAAAAATACACTCAGCAAAAAATGTTTTGGTGCTGTCCTAACACAAAAAAGGATTTTAATATTATCAGGCAGGAATATTTCTATCATGTATTGAATGTTAATGCTATTTAATTTACATACAAGTCACTGTAGACCATTTCTGTTAGTCCATTCATAATAAAATGTTTACACAGGGTGCAAAGAGCAGCTGCTGTGTTCAAATATTGTAGAAAAATAAAAATCAAAAAAAAGATATGTGGTTTTGATATGGCAGCGGCAACGTACAAATAACATAAGCGTAAATTGTGTCCTAGCAGCTACTTGATTTGCTGTATTGAAGCATCTGATTGTATTTGAAACTTGTCATATCTCTCTTCAGGTCTGACCAGAGTTCGTAGCATTGACTCTCGTTTACTTGTGTTTGCGCGTATGTTCATGTGCTTATATCTTTCTTGTTGTTTTACTGTCGTGAACACACTGCAGAGTTGGTTGGCAGTAAATACTGAATTTTGAATCTTAACAGGGCTTTGGGGATGGCTCAGTCCTTCCAGAAGACCTTGATGAGGATCCTGAGCTGATTCTGGACGACAAGCCCCGCTATGCTTCTCCTCTAATCACCACAGAGCTCCTGCCAGGCCTAGAGAGAGAGATGACTGTAGATGAGGACCAGGGACAGGAAGAGGAGGAGAGGCACCCCAGCTTAGAGAGTGACAGAGAGAGTCCGTTGTCATACACTAGGAGGGAATCACCTTCTGTGGAAGAATCAGCTGTGACAAACCCCTACCAGATCTTTACCCAGACTGAGGAGGTGAGACCCTTTGTAAGCCTCGGAACTGGCTAGCTTTGACAGAGAGAGGTGGTCCCTAAAGGCCAATTCACACTGAAAGCAGCGTTCCTGAAGCATTCTTTAGATGTTCATCTATTTTCTTTACATGTTGAGCCTCTTTTTTCCACATAGTACTGTGAAGTATAATTAAGGTCATAATCTACTTCAGTGTGATGATCTTGTTACCCTAGTAATTGCAGCGCAGCTACTGCATTGTACTGACGGTGTTTGTACTGTGGTGATGATAACTAGGCTTTTTACGTGACAACAGCAGGGGTGAAAACTTGGGGTGAAAACAACATGACTGTAATTTTGTCACAATAAACAGATCTGTAGAAATGGCTGTAAAACCATTTAATTGCGAAAGAAGATAAGCTGTTATTCACACCTGGCCTGGGTTGCACTGCTTTTTTGCGAAGGTTTATACTTAACCCTCTGAGTGCATTTTCTTGCATCTTCTTAAATTCGCTTTCAAAGGCAGCTGCGTATAACATGATACCCATATGTTTCGTATCAAAATGCTCCATTATCTTTGTTGCTACTAAACTGCTGCAGCAACTTAAGCAGCTGTAAACTTGCACGCCATTTCACGTGTGTCTCTGATGTCGGCTGAACGAAGAATGAATGATATGTGATGTGATGGGTCAGTCCTTAGTGATTTCCTGAGTGTGCGTTGGTCGGTTTCACACAAAATTGAGTCCCAATCCCATTTCAACCCCTCGCCCCTACCCCTTAGCCCTTAGCCCTCTGTGTTTGCGTGTTCACATCTAGGGGTAGGGTGTCCTGATTTTTGTTGAGATAGAGGGGTAGGGCAAAGTGTTGGGGCTACATGGCCCTCCAAATTTAGGTTTTTCAGAGGTACACTCCAAAAAGAGTGTTAGGGAAAAAAAAACACTGGCAAGATGGCTGCGACCAAAGAAACCCACAAATCTGAGTATTTTCTCAGTTAAAAAATTATGATAACCATTGTATTTTCTAAGTTTAATGTCATTTCAGTGTATTATGGTACTTTTTTTCATAACTAACATAAAAAATCGTAGTAGTATGCTAATGTTTTAGTAGCTAGCTAGCTAAACTTCCTGTTCCACCTTAAATAGTCTAGCAGTTCTGACGCCTGAAATGCCAGAATGTAACTGCTGCTCCATTTAAGGTGGAACGGGAAAATTCGAACAAGAAGCTGGCGAATAGCTGACTTCAGCTTCATATCGCTATAGAATTAGGGGGCAAAAAGCATTTGAAAGCATATGATTCCCTAAATGTGACTAAAGCCCAGCAGTGAGGAGCTGAACTTTACCCTCCTCTGCTGTCACTGCAGACTGGCAGGGTTGCCTACAGAGTACCGCTAGTAGCTGTTAATGAAGTAATGCCCTTTTCTTATTTAAGGGACCCATTTCATAGAGGAAGATTTCAACCACTACCCCTTATATTGCACAGTTTCAGTGTAGCAAGGTGACACTGAAAACAAGGGGTAGGGATAAAGATAAGAAATGGGATTGGTCTGTAGACAGACAATCCACCAATTACACACATTGAGAGGCAGATGACGTGTATCTCACAGCCTCATAACTCGTGAGTTACGTCCGATCTTGTGATAAGCTGGAATGGAAAGGGTGACTCTACAGATTCGGAAAATGTTTAAACCACACTTCTGCACTGTATTAGTGCAAAGATAGAGAAACATATATAGAAACATCAAAGTCGATGCACGGATGAAGTTGTGGACCCGAGGGTTAAGTTTCTGGGTAAAGTCTTTACTAAGTCCTTAGATAATTTCAACCTTTTTTTATTACTAAATTTGGTTGCACCACAAATCCTAAAGTAGTGTCTTAACTACTAATTGTTGTCTAATATGTATGTTGCTTTAACATGACAATAACGTGTTCAGAACCAGTCAGTTAACCTGCGCCGACTTTTTCCATGGAAAAAATATCCAGCAAATAAAAGAACAATGTTTACAAGTTAAACTGAATATAACAAATGATCTATAGCCACTGTCAGTTTATTCTTTAATGCTTACTTGCGACAACCAATTTTCAATGATGGTTTCTGGCTGACTGATGCAACAGCAGCTTCAGTTTAGATGTTTCTGCAGGTGTTTCTCACTCAAGTGGAGCTGGGTGTTTGCTTCAAGCTCAGAGTTACAGTGATTAGAGCTGTAAATAAAATCACAGCACAGAGCATTTAGTTTTTAACTTAGTTAACCCAAAAAAGTTATGTTTTGGTCCTTTTTGCGCTTTCTGGGTTGTTTCTGATGGTTTTCCCCAAACACGCACGCCTGCTTAGGTGGAGGCCTAACTTTTTAAGTTAAAACTGGTTTGTGTGGTGCAGTTTGTTTTGATTTAACAATGCATAAATGTGAACTTAGTAAACACTTATGTTGCAACTAGCCTACGTTTGAATTTACACACAGCTGGTGTAACCAGCCCCTGAAGTGCTTACAGAATGGAAATGATTTGAAAGCAGCGTATTGGACAGATAGTTGCCTGCGCTTGAGTTGCGCTGTCACGTCTGGTGTGAATTCTGAGTCTTCAGAGGCTTGTCTTGCGGTAGGAAAGAACTGTTAGATAGATTAAGAGGGGAAAAAGCCAAACATGCGATTTGTTTCATTGAACCTGCTGTGTGCAGCAGAGTTTGCGAGTGGAGTTGAGCAGCAGAAATTTCCAGGCAGATACAGTACTGTGCAAAAGTTTGAGGCACCTGAGACATTGATATTAATATGAAATATTAACATTAGAATAAATGCAGATAACATTAATACAATAAGTAGTGATTTTATGTATGTCAGTGTGTTCGCTTAAGCATTTCCAAGCCTAGTATTATTCGTAGTTCTCACCTGGTTTGTCCAGTCAGTACTTTATTAAATTCATTGAATTGTGCTGCTAATTGAATTTACAGATCTATGGAGTGCTGGGGGTGCTCGCGGAACCAAATTTAGTTCTTCTAACTTGCTCACAAGACATGCTCCATGTAACGTGCGAATACATTTTTGTGTCTTCTCTTACTTCGTATGTCTTTTGTAGGAGAATGATGAGGAGGCCTTGGTCCAGAATGAAGAGGACTTTCGAACAGAACTGGAGTCCAGCACAAAGATCCCTCAGCGTCCAATCAGTGAGTGTCTCTGTCAGCTTCATATATTCAAGTAGAGCTGGGATGGTATGAAAATGACATCTCTCAGAATGATAGCAGTATTTCTGTATTGGTGCAGTTTTGTGTAGACCAGGGGTCGCAACCCAAATGTTAAGAAGAGCCATTTTGTCCTTTCAATAAAAAATCAAACTACCTTGGGAGCCACAACCTTTTGTGTCCATTTTACCATCCTGGCTGTTAATATGTCTCAGTATGTGCTAATGTGATGGTAAAGGCTAAAAATATAAACAAAAATGCAGACTTACTTTGCTCTGCTTTAAGCTTTAGCTCAGCTGTAGTCGCTTTTCTCGCATCTCTGGCAAACATTTCCTCAAAAGTGGAATAGTAATAGAATGATGTCTCAACGTTCGACTGTTTATGAGCCTGAGGTCAGCTTCTCATTCTCCAGCTTCTTGTATCTAATTCTGCTGTGGAGCCGCAACAGAGCAGTAAAGCAGCTGCATGTTGCCAACCCCTGGTCTAGACACAGAAATGTGCTGAAAAGACACTAATATACACCGAAATAATTTTTACTTTTGAAAAAGTAATTGTACATGGGTAACATCCATCCATCTTCTAAGCCGCTTATCCTTCTGGGTCATGGAGGGTGCTGGAGCCTGGTGTCAAGGGGCGGAAAGAAGGAAACACCCTGACAGGTCGCTGGTCCATCATAGGGCAGATGCACAGACATGCAATCACACACACATTCACACCTAGGGGCAGTTTAGCGTGTCCAATTCACCTGACTGCATGTCTTTGGACTGTGGGAGGAAACCCACACAGACACAGGGAGAACATGTGAACTCCACACACGAAGGACCCTAATCACCTGGCTGGGGAATCAAACCCAGGTCCTTCTTGCTGCGAGGCGACAGCACTACCCACTGCTCCACCCATTTGAATTGGTCAGCCGTGTAACTGACCAATGTGACAGACACGCTTGCCTTTTTTCCACTGTAGGGCTGAGCATTTCCACATGCACACAGTTCAACGTTTACAAACCGTAGTTTTCTCAACACAAATTCTTAACTGTGTTCACAGAACCGTTCAGTGGTGTGACACAATGACTATTCGCCGATTTTTTTTTTTCTACATTTACGTTGGCATTGTGCCACCACATCTCAGCGAAACCGAAAAACAATCCATGTTAATATGTGTAAACCCACATAGTCACAGCGGTGGACTTAAGGAAATATTACATTGTAATCAGTGTCAGTTTTTGTCGTTGTCAGTGTTATGAGACGACCCTGCTTCTACTAAAAATCCACTGTCTGGCAGAAAGTGCGGTTATTTTGTCAAAAGTAAATATCCCAGCCTAATACTTCTGTTTAGTGCATAGCAGCTCTTTTATTCTATAGCCTTAGGCCTCTGTATTATTTTCCAATGGATTGCTGACCCAGTCTAGCTTTCACAGTGGTTTTACTTTTATTATGCTAGGCTTGAAAAACTCTGAAAGGCAGAGAAATATTAATCTTCTTATAAGCCATTTAGTGTGTTTGGAATAAATTTCTTTTTTTGTAGTGCCAGTGCATGCTTACTGTTTTTCTTTTAGTGTTTAACCTATTACCGCCAAAAGGATAGTTCTCAGTTTGGCACGATTGCTGATATTTCCTGAGAAGACAGCAAAAAATCCCTGGGGAAAGAAGAAAAGTATATAGAGTTGTACGCAAAAGCTACCCTGGTCAAATGTTTTGTTTATTTTCTGGTAAAGAAGTGGAAAGACGTTAACACACTTGTGCACATTTTACTACAAAGTTACTGTTTATTTTTTGTAAAACACAATGTAATCTGTGCGAAAGTTAATATTTTATGCCTTATGTTTTTGAAATATGTTTAACTCCCCAAATAATTATAAGTTGTGCTCTAAAATGAGCAGAAAATGCCACATTTAAGTTTGTTCTTGTAGAGGATCGATCAGACAAGACGTTTGTTTTCTTTTATGTAAATATATTCCCAAAACTTCTGTCAGCCCGCTCCAGGTCTTCGTTAAGGCCATGCAGACTTGTCAGTGTGGTTTAGAGCACAGTATGACTCAGTGCGAACTTAGCGTGAACTATAAAAGTGAACAAAACATCACAGTGTAGCCAAACACTGCAGACAGCACTTGTAGACAACAGGTGCAAAATTTGGAGACCAAACGTGTCTTGGCTGATCAATTACTTCTGGGGTGAGTGGAAAACTATATAAATTTGATTTTTATGGGTTCCTAAGGGTTAGGTTTTGAACAATCTGATGATCATATAAATAAAAAAAAATATGGAACAGATTATGCATATTAATTGCAGATGTATAATACATATGGGACAAAGTATTATTACGTTTAGCTGCTTAAAAAACTTATAATGGGGTGCCCAAACCTTTGCATATCACTGTATATAATGTGCATGGGATAGTGCATTATTGTTTTTTGTTTTTGTCTTTTTACATAATTTGAAAGCACCAGCTGCCATGTACATCATGTCAAAATGATAAAATAGTCTAAATTAGTTACAAAACATATTTACACAAACATTCATTGAAAGTTAAGAGTATTTTTCCTTCTCCGATAAAGTTGCCATTTTGGAGATTAGGATAAGGTTTTGATATATATTTGATATATATGTTCTGACAACATCAATAAAGATATAGGCATATGTGTGACCACATGTCCTGACACTGTATAAAAACCAGTGAATGTGTGTTTGTATTTTCAGGTCAGCCGGTGAGGTCCTGGGTGGAGGCGCCGGAGAGTGAGGCGGACTCGGACTCTAGAACAGGAGGCTCAGAACTCACTCTCACTGATACAGACACAGAGTGAGTGACACATAGACTTTCATTCTCTTTGTGTATCTTTCCATACCATCAAAACTTTCCCATTTTTGTGAGAACAACAGTTTTTGTCCGCACTCTCCCATCAGCGCATTTTGTTTGTGTTGACAAATACACACACAGATAGCAGGGGGTATAATGGGCTCCACGTACGTACATAGTAATTACAGTGTCGTGTTTAGCAAACTGCATGTAGCAAACCCTCTCTTTACCATTACACTCACTGAACAGTGTGATTAGGATTAGATTTAAGTGTGAGTGTGCGCACACATATACATGAGTGTGCTATTGTCTGTTTTCACTGTTCAGAACTTTTAACTGTAAGGTTTTTCAGTTTGGTGTTGTATTAGAGCCCCACCTGCTGGACCACAGGTAGCATTACAGCCTGACCTCACCATGAGTCTCTCAGCTCTACCATACACACTCTTTATGCACCAGCTCGAACCACTGACAGAAATCAATATTAAGTTTCTCTTCTATTGCTAACAGCAATACAGGAAAAATTTAATAGTATAAATTTAAATAATTTAAACCAATAACAGATCAAATTAACAAGACAAATACAAAAAGAGAGGTTGCATTTTGATTAAAAGCTAAATTAGAGAAAAACATTTTTAAAATGTGTTTTATTGAGCTTGACTGTTTACTAAAAGATAGAACGGAGTTCCACAGTTTAGAAGCAGAATAACACAAAACGTCTCTCCAAGTTTTCTGTATTTGGGGATTGTGTATGTAGAAGTCAGTATCTGCGGATCTAAGGTCTTGCGCTGGAGCATAGACAGACAGACGTTCTGTGATGTACGCAGGCGCTTTAAGGCCATTTAGAGCTTTTAAAAACTAGTAAAAGAACTTTAACAACATTTCTCAAATGCTAAAAAGCTACTTTATTGACTGGGTTTCTATGTGGGATAAAACAGAGCTCAGAATCTAAGATTATGCCCATGTTTTGTACTTAGGTTTGGTGTATAAAGCAAAAGGGCCTAGCTTCTCACAAAGCATCTTCCTCTGAATTTTAGTGCCAGTAGTCAGCTTTTTTCTTGATTTTCTTCATTTTGCCACATCTGCTAAGAAATATCTGGCACGAGACTGGTCATCAGAATAGCTGTGAAATAAATAAATACAAAGACACCAGTACAGGGGGGGTCACAACTGAACATTATATACAGGATGTAAAGTACATTTGCAGGGTATACACACAATGTAGATGCTTAGGGATATGTCTGACAGGTGCAGATGTGGAATATATGCAAGATATACATTTTTAAGCCACAATCCATTTTTCAGAGTGAAAAGTCATCACATGACATCAGATTTTCTTCATTTATTTAAATATGCATTTGTGTCTAGGATTGACCTGATCATTGGTCAGCATTTGAAGTGTGCTTTTAATTTTTTAATTTTTTAATGTTGACTATTCTTATTTAAGATGTGTTTGTGTGAGGATGTTGGCTTATTTCTCCACCCTTTGTTCCACAGGTCTGCACAGCTGGCTTCCTCTGGCAGGAGGAAGAGGAGGAATCAAGGCAATGCTATGGTGCAGATGAGAGAAGGGCACAGGTAGGAGAGCATTATGCCTTGTTAAACTATGTTTTTGGATTTTGGTGCAATTTTGTGGAAGCTTCTGGCACAAATATTGGCATCAGATGCACTGAATTACAGGCTTTATTGCTGATGTTTTTGTCCATATATGTTTGTGTGTGTCTGTTCTCAGTGATCTGCCAGAGAGAGAGGATGGAGAGGGAGAGGAAACGCCCATCTTTAGTCACTGGGGTTCCCCACGCAGGCAGGTGTCTCCATCAGTGGTGCCATCTGGTGCTTGGTGTCCTTTTATGACCTGATATCTTATGGTTATTTGACCTATTCAAGCTCCGCCCAGAAATGTGTACTTTTGTAGGTGCTGTCAGGATACAGGTGACCTTTACAGAACACTGACGAAATTCTCATTCAGCCTAATGAGAAACTGCAGCATGCTACTCTGCTTTTTTCAAAATAGCAAAATTGTCATTTTAAATTTGTTTTGTTTGTGTGCAAAACGTCTTGCTGTTAGGATAGACAGAGTGTAGTTTTTCATCATGTAGTCTAGTCTATGCAGTATGGTCAGTATATTGGAGAGAATGTTGTCTAAATGCCTTTAGATTAACTTCAGCTGTGCTACCTGAGCTGATGGTGTAGGCTGCAGTGTTAACTTAGCTAACTATCAACATAAAAACACTTGAATGGGGTGAATTTTCTGCTTAGTTTATCATTGTAATTAAGGGAGAATTCTACTGTTTTAATGCATAACTCAATTAATGAGATGTAAACAAAGTCATTCAGAGTAGTTTGATGTGAAATAGTGTGTTCCAGAGAAGCTTATTGAAGCTTATTATTGGGTTTCTTTACAGTAATGATGATAGGAACAACGGGTGATGGTGTCTATAACGCACATTGAGCCATTTTATTTATTCTCAAAAATGACCAGTGTTTCCTGAGTTTTCATATTTAATGTTGATAATGGTAAAAAGTGGTAATTCCAAAGAAAAAAAAAGGCTATTTTGCCTGAAAACACCCTGCATGAATCCCTCTCTGCGTTCATATTAAAAATACATTTTAGGCCAAAACCTTATTGTAAAACTAATGTAAAATAATGTGTGGCTTCTGCGTTTTTGTAACCATTTCATGTAATACTTTTCTGTGAGGTAACTCTTAACTGTCTGGTTTCTATCACCACCACTGTTTAACCAGGCAACATATTCTGATTTTAAATGGCAGTCTGACATTCTGACTGGGTAAGTTTCTTAAGAGTAACTGATTTCAAATGACAACTTTTGTTTACATCTTAATTTCTGAATAATTAAATTAATAATAATAATAATAATAATAATAATAATTATAATAATAATTATAATGATGATGATAATTTGGCTTAATAACACACCCTAAATGTCAGTGTCCAGCCCAGCAACATGCTCCTCAAATGAGAAGGAATGTAGAGCATAAGCAGGCCAGTTGGATTTGTCTCTGTAATATGAACTGTGTTTGATTGTGTACGTGTATGTGTGTGTGCTGTGTAGGGTGGAGGTGTGGCTGGAGCCGGGGGAGTCTCTGGGGATCAGTATCGTCGGAGGCCGGACAGTTATAAAGCGCCTGAAGAACGGAGAAGAGTTGAAGGGCATCTTCATCAAACAGGTGCTGCCAGACAGTCCTGCAGGACGCACACGTGCGTTCAAGACTGGAGACAAGATCTTACAGGTGGGGAAAGCATAAACACACACACACATAAACACACGTACACAACACCATCTGCTGGTCTGTGTCCCTGGAGACTCAGTTCTTGGTACAACATAGAGGAGTCCAGCTCCTCTAGGAGGGCCTTAGTTTTGCACAGGTTAGTGATCTCCCTGTTCAAACACAGCTAATTTAACTCAGCAGGTAGTTACCAGGTTTAGTTATTGTATATAAGCAGGCAAATCACCACTGTGCAGGACTGAAGCCCTCGAGGACTACAGTTAGACATTCTAGATACCATTTGTCAAACACAAGGCCCGCAGGCCAAGTTAGGCCCGTGACACAGTCTTGTTCGGCCCGCGAAATGATTTTAAATTTCTATTCTTAGTAGCCCGTTTCACCCTGACATGCACTACAGTCCCCAGCATTAATTGGCCAGTGGTTACACAAAAAGAAAAGATGTCTACTTCAAACAAATAGGCAGTTTTTAAAAACTACCTAAAACAATTTATTTTTATATTTATTTTGAATAAACAGTGGCCCGTTCGGGTCATGGCAAAATGTTGAGTAAAAATCAAATGAAAACACAGCTGAGATTTTTTAATATGGCCTGTTTAGGGGTTGAGTTTGCCACCGCTGGTCTAGATATAATACAATGACCAGTTATCATATTGATGGCACAAAAATATGTTGTCATGGTCATATCAAAATATCGCCAGCTTTACATGGTGTGAGCATTTCATAATGAATTAGCCAATAAAAGAGGTAGCTTTTATGGCTAAAATATAAAATCTTGTTACATTACTGTACATTATAGGGCCTATATCATGATAAACCAAATTTCCCTATTTGTTTTAATATAGGAGTTTAACATGCCACTGCTCTTAGTTCATGTAGGCCATATATAGAAACTAAGCTGCAAAAACAGACCATTTTGAATTCACTGTTTTTCTGATGTCATGAGAACAACTTCATTTACACATATCTACCCATTCAGCCAGCAGCAGTTTACCCCAGCCCCCACTCCCCCAAATTCACACTGAAGTTATAAGGAGACGTTTCAGTCTGCTTTTTGAATGAGGCACATTACTGGACAGCCAATCAGAACAAGGCTCTTTTGCTTATATCAGTCTAAAAGATAACAGAATCACCCTGTTTAATTCTGTAATTCTAAGGAATAAAGAGAGGTTGGAAAATGGTCGTGTAAAAACGAATTGTAAGTTTTTAGCACACAAAACCACACAAATATTAGAAATGGACCTCAAGAAAAGAGATGAAATACAAGAAAATTCTAGGATATAGGAGAAGGAATGTTTTTTCCTCTTATCCTATAAAGTAACCGTTTCTGCGATAAGAGATTTTGGTACAACATTTCCTTGTTTGTTGATGTAATTGGATTTCTCTCTCTTCTGCAGGTGTCAGGAGTGGACCTGCAAAACGCCAGCCATGAGGAGGCAGTGCAGGCCATCAAAGCAGCTTCCAGCCCAGTGGAGTTTGTCGTGCAGAGCCTTTCTTCCACTCCTCGGGTAATACTCACCACCGCTTCTATAAATTACCTACTTTAACTACCCCTTCATATCCTTCTGCCTCTGCGAGGTCCTAGTCACAGATCACTGCCCCCGTTTATGATGATGCGAGTGAAACAGGGCTCTGATGAGTTGCTGCAAAAGGCAGCTCGGTATTTGAACTGAACTGATTTTAAAGAAAGACCTTTGTGTTATTTTGTGGCACTATTAAACAGGAGTGTCACAGAAAACAGTGTTTCTGAGGCATCAACTGTAATGGGATTAGTTATCTCCTGCTAACTTCTCCATCTCCGTAACACCGATTTCAGCATTTAGTTTAACTATGTTTGCGACATGATGAAATGCACCGCACCATAATTTAATAATCTGATCAGCTCCTGGCTGGCAAAACATTCAGTTGCAGAAATAACAGAGATTTTCAACCTCTCTTTGCCGACTTCACTCTACACTCGCCTTCTCTGCCTTCTTCAGGACTTCCGCCTATCTCTCAGCCAAACAGAGGTGAAGCAAAAAACGCTTTACTGTAATATAAACGCAGCATAAACAACCACCTATTTACTCATTAAAAGTTAATAGCTATAGCTGATAGCTTTTTATAAGGGGTCCTGCGGACAGCCTGTGGCAAGGATGCTGCCCTCTCTATTGAAAGTAGTAACAGTAGCTGTGTTTACATGCAAAGATTTTTCCCAATCCGATTGAATACATTCCAATTATAGATCAAGACTGAGGTGTTTATATGCTCACGCTACTCAACAGTCTAATGGACCCTGACCCTGCGACGAACATGCGCAGAACGTACTCAAACTTTCCGATTGGGAATGTAATCAGATACAGGCGTTTACACGACTATTATTCCTCTATTTAATGGATTATTTACAGGTTTACCCACCTCGTTCAATTGGATAGAAATTGTATTCCGAATGGCGTCAATCAGACTAGTCTATCCCGATTGAAGTGTATTCATGGACGTATTCTATTCCAATTAAGCTGTTAGTCGGACTATTAACGGATTTTCAGGCTGCCTGTAAATGCAGCTAGTTATGTTTTCCATTAACTAAAACTCTCACTGCATCTTCAGTATCTGCCCATGCATCATGGTCATTCATGTATTTCATTCTGTCTCACTATCCAGCTCTAAGCCTCCTTAAGCACCTCTCTGATGTCCATCGTGGTAGCTGTGTGGGCTTGCGCAGTGTGTATGTGATTGATGTCCTTCTGTGGGGGAGATAATTGGTTATGGTCACCTTGCTTAGCACAGGAGCAGATCTGCTGCACTGATTTGTGCTGCTTTGTTATCTATAAGGATGTATTGGAGACTCACTGTGTGTGTGTGTGTCTGTGTGTGTGTGTGTGTGTGTGTGTGTGTGTGTGTGTGTGTGTGTGTGTGCGTGCATGCGCTGCAGCCTGTTTCAGTCACAGCCTCCAGTATACGACAGCACAAGGCCAAGAGGAAAGGCATGCAGGTAAGCAGCATGTATTCTCTCTCTCTCTCCTACTCTCTCTCCCTTTCTCTCTCTCTCCTTCTCTCTCCTGCTCTCTTGAGCCAAAATGAGCCTTGATGATGCACTAAATTAGAGTTTCCCAAACACTGGGTCATGGACTCGCACTATGCCATGGGTTGTTCGGTACTGGTACCGAGAATGCAGTGGTGAGCAGGAGAACGGTCTTAGCTAACTGCTGAACTCCACTATGTTCTAACTACTATTATTGTAATTCTAGTAGTATTTAAAGCACCGCATGGGCCTGGATCAATAATAATAATTTAGACTTATATAGTGCCTTTCACATACCCAAGGTCGCTTTACAATTTAAGGTAAAGAAAGATGAATTAAAGGGAGTGAAAGCATTCTGAAAAATTAATAGCTTAACTTTGAAGATGGAAAGAGAGGTAAAAGAAAGAATAGATGAAGGTAAGGAGTTCCACAGGGTGGGGGCAGCAACACTAAAAGACCTGCCACCCATAATAAAGCCTGAATCTAGGACTGACTAGAACAACAGAGTGGAAGCCAGTGTAACTGATGAAGGATGGGGGCAGATTTCTTAGTGGGTACTAAGAGAACAAAGCGTTTTAGAAGGTAACCCATAGAACAGAGAGATGCAGTAGTCAGATGTGATGAAAGCATGCACCAGGATCTCAGGATCTCAGGATCTTTAAAGGTAAGTATAGGGCAAGGTCTAGCAATACTGCGAAGATGGAGAAGTGCAGACTTCTCCATCTCATCCAATGCTGTTAACACCTGAATACAGGACAACAGCGTGGATGGTGATTGAACGATTGAACGATTGATTCTACGGATCAGCATAGCAAAGAAAATTAGGGCCCTGGGAACAAATGTTTCCAAGGGGCAAAGTAAGGATAATAAATAGCAGGGGACCAAAAGGAGAGCCGTGGGGAACTCCCTGAGTAACTGGTGCAGTAATTGATTTGTGCCTCCCAGTAGTAGCGAAATGAGACCTATTGGTTAATTAGGATCTAAACCAAGGCCAGGGGTGTCCTGAAATCAGTATGTTATGACTGACTGTATCTAAGGCTGCAGTAAGTACAAGCAGGATTAAGGCTTGGTACTCACTCACTCATGTTTAGCAGGCAGGAGAATCCTCACAAGCATCCAAATATCTTTTGGTGCTTCGTAAAAGCAGAGCTTCACATCAGTGGCACTGTATGTCCTTTCTTTCATTCAAGCTTTCGTTCTTGCCATTACAATGTCTATAAACCATTTTTTGTTTAATTTATAATATATCAGGCATAGGGATGTATTATATAGGCTTGGACAATATGATATTTTATAGTTATCGTGATAAATTACGTCTCAATACGCTTTTCTGAGCATATAGTGGATATTGTCAGTATTTCAAGAACACTATCAAACCGCATGTTTATTAATTACGTGAGAGCATACTTAGTCCTGTTTAACTGGATTTAGGGCTGCACAGTGTGTGAAATGTTGAATTAAAGTAATTGTATTGATAGTTTTTGATAGTATCTTTGATCGTGTCATTGTATCCTGACCAGCATGTTAGCTTGTGGCTAGAGCGTTAGATCAAGTCACTATAAAACCCAGCATTTGTTTTCAGAAATTATACGTTTAAAATGTTGAATGCTCTAATAAGCTGAAAGTGGAAACAAATCGAGACGCCGATGGAGGAGTGTGTGCTAGTCTGGCAAAATATCATGTAGTGTGTTTAGTAGTAGGGCTGGAAAGCCTTTGCTTCATGTAAAATTATCTTATTTTCCCTTTATTTCATATAGCCTAGTCATAATGATCCTTTGGTTCACGTTACATTTTTAGTGTTTCTAATGTGTCAGATTGCTCCACTGGATTGTTGTTGGTTAGGTAAGCGTGTTTGTTTTAGCTGGACTTTGTAAGCTGCCGTGCAGGCTGAGCTCTTTGTGCTACCAAGTTCATCATAGGTGAGTAGTAACTAGTTAGATTTACTCAAATACATATGCTTAAGTAAAATATTGATGAATTTCTCCTGCCCTGAATATTTTCAAACCGTAATATTTATACCCAAGTATACTTACGAGGAAAGGGATGTACTTTTTACTCCGTTACATTTTAGTAATTCATATTTAGTTACTAATTCCTTTTTTGTACCTAATTTCATTGTTTTCTGCACTGCTTTGAGATTGGTCACACTTGTCTTTAACATTTCACTTTAGACCTAAAGAAGCCCAAAAAGAGAGGAGTAGAGTTTAACAAGCTTTAGTTCTTATGCTGATAGATGCTGGGTTTAGTAAGAAGTTCCACTGCAGTTCTATAAGTTACTCAGTACTTGAGTAGTTTTTTTCATACATTTGTATTTCTTCTTAAGTTGTTTTTGAGAAGGTACTTTTACTTGAGTCGTTATTTTACCCAAGTACTAAGTATAACTTTACTTGAGTATAGATTTAGGCTCTACCCACCTCTGAAATACATCAACTTTGGTGTGGGTAATATGATTCCCCAAGTCAGTGTACAGCTTCCCCATTAATAAATTGTAGATCATAAAGCACACAAAGTGTTTAGAGAAGAAGAAGAACCTCAGATATGGACTTGGGAAAGGGATTCCGCGTGTGCAAGTGTGGCCGATGAAAGAACTCCTGCCGTCTTCCACCAAAATTTCTTCTCAGGGATCTATAGAGTATCGGTCTGTCTATCAGGAGTTCTACAAAAGAAGACAGTAAATCGTGTCTTGTCACTTCTCCATGTTTCACTTGACAAAACATGCTCTTCCTTTGTCAAAAACTTTGGTGCATCAGAGTCCCAACTGTAGCCTGGAAATCAATACAGCTCAACGGAGTGAAGTGCAGTAAGGAGGAAAAAAGAACACGCACATCCAGAGAAATCGTGCCATGTCCCTGGAGATCATGTCCCTGACAGTCCTCCAGAGTGGCCAAATTTTTGATTAAAGCAGCTTTATCTTGCAATTAATTTGAAATAGCAATAATTGTCCTAATTGCTCCTCCAGCCATTAGGATCCCACTCAGCTCCTGAGGATATGAGATTATTCAGCACAATCAGAGCGAGGCTCCTCATTAGTCACTGAAAATTTAATTAACATTTCATCACTCTTCCGAAGAGCATCTCAGTCTCTTTCGCAGGGAAGAAAGATATGAAGCCAGCAGTTCAGAAGAGGAAAGTCAAATTAAATGTAACTCTGAGTTCTTTGACTCTGGAAAGAAGCTTGCAGATGTGTATCAGTTTGGACTTTTTCACTGGGCTCTATGGCATTAGTGTGTTCACACCTTTGACTGATGCATCATTCATTAGCCATTAATAAAGCATAAGAGGAGCTCTCAGAGCAGGTCTTGAAGGGGCTGCAATGTCTCCTGTGTAACTTCATAGCAACTCCTTAGCAAGAAGTGCCAGTAGCTGATTAATGCTAACAAATCAGCCAGAAGCTTCCAATGCTGGAAGTTGTAGCTCCATGCAGGAGCAATTAGCCTTGATTAAACAGTGCAGCCGCCTGATAAATATAAAATTAATGGTCTGTTTTTGTTTAGATGACAAGATGTTGACATGTGGACCTTCAAAAACACTTTGTGTGAGAATGTGTGTTAGCGTGGCTAGCGTGAGCAAGTAGCCTGTGGGTTACATAGACTACAAGCTACAGCTGGACTTGTTTTCTGTTCTGGTGAGATGAATTTGTGGACAGATGGGTAGATGGGATGGAAGGATGGATAGATAAATGGATAGATGGGAAGAAGGATGGATGGATAGATTGGATGGATAGATAGAAGGATTAGTGAATGGATGATTAAATAAGTGGATGGATAGATGGGTGGCTAAATGAATAGATGCATAGATTTATGGATGGATGGGAGGGTGGATGGAGGTGTAGATGGACAGATTCATGGGCAGATGAATGGATGGATGCATAGATTTATAAATGTATCGATTGGGTGGATGGATAGATGTGTAGACAGATTCACGGATGGATTAGTGGATGGATGAATAGATGACAGATGGGAAGATAAATGGATAAATGCATATATTTATGGATGGATAGATGTGTAGGTAGATGGGTAGATGACAGATAGATGGGCAGATGAATGGATGGATACATACATTTTTGGACGGATGGGTAGACAAAATGACAAGTGGTTGGATGGATGGATGGATAGGTTTGTGGATAGGTAGGTAGATGGATGCGTAGATGGGTAAGTGGATAGATGGTTGGGTAGATGGATAATTGGATGGGTATATGAATAGATAGATGGCAGATGAATGGAAGGATGCATACATTTTTGGATGGATGGGTAGACAAAATGACGATGGATGGATGGATGGATGGATGGATGGGTTTGTGGATAGGTAGGTAGATGGATGCATAGATGGGTAAATGGATGGTTGGGTAGAAAGATGGGTGGATGGATAATTGGATGGGTAGGTGGGTAGATAGTTGGGCACGTGGATGGATGGATGGATGGATGGATGGAAAGCATCGGTAGTTGGATAAATGGATATATAAATGGACTCTCGAAGCTGGACCACTGTTTAATAGTTCCTCTGAGCCTCTTTATTATATAATTGTGGATACAATTATGGGATGAGGGATTCTTGTGCCTGGTTGCTCTGCCATCTATTGTCTGTGTGTTTTGTAAGATCCTGTGGAGCCTTTGGTAAATGAATCAATGTGGATGTCCCATTCTGTAGCCTGGCGTGGACTTATTTGTTCATAGCACGTCCGTTGTGCTTCATCCCCCATGGCAGGCTGCTGTAAGGGTTGAGTCCTCTCTAAGAGAAAGCAGCGCGTCCTCTCACTGCCCTTTGGTGGTCCAGCGGGATTGATAACCCCCCTCCCAGTGCACTTCACTGTCATATCCCACAGCATATCTCTTTCTTTCTGTTGTCCATCTCTCTCTGCTGCAAGTTAGGAGTTTGAGGGTATAAACCTGTCCTTGTGAAGCAGATGTGTAAATGAATGTTCCTGTGTCACTCAAACTTATATGGTCTTGCATTAAGACTTATTTTCTACAGTACACATTATTCATATGCCTTTCAAAAACAGACTGGTAATAATTACAGTACGCACATAAGACATGCTCTTCAGTATGCGGTGTGTTTAGTGCTCTCAGTACTAATATATGTTGGCAATTCCAACAGCTGTCTTTTCTCTCGGTGGTGTAGAATATCACAGGTGTTTTGTTGTTTGTTTGTTCTCTCTCGCTTTCTCTGCTTCCTTTGTTTGTTGCTTGTCTCTCTGGAGTTTTCTGCAGTGCTGTCTGTCATGATAGTAATGTCTTTGCCTTTGGTGTGTGTGTGTGTGTGTGTGTGTGTGTGTGTGCGTGGTAGAAAACAGGACAGCGGACTGCGCCTCCTCCGATGCGCCTCCCTCCACCATACAGACCTCCCAGCGTAATGCAGGAGGAGGAGGAGGACCCCGAACAGGCCACAGGTCAGTGCCTTTCTGTTTTGTTTTTGTCAATTTATTTTGACACTTGGACCTGCAGCGTCCAAAGCCCCCACGTCTTTATAGACTTACTTAAAGAAAACAACTCAACTGTCTTGGGAATTTCATATCGTGTTACCCATCAAGCCATGCTCCAGGTTAGGTATCCCCCTCTTTGGACTTGGTACAGAAAAGGTTTGATGCTGCTTCCTCTCTTCATTTCTACTCCAGTTTGTATTTATTTGATGTCATATTGCTCTTTTTCGATTTAAATAAATGCACCTGCCTGAAGGAGTGGGCAGTGTGATGGTATGTTATTGTAATCTAGTAAATTACATCACTATAGGCTTTTCTGTGTGCATTGCAGGTATAATAAAATGGATAGTTTCAGTGTTAAAGGCCAGTTGGCCATGTTTGTAGCCATAAAATACTAGATATACGCAAACTCATCTCCTTGGAATTATAAGGTTCTATCTGACATTTCTTCAAAATTGACACATTCAACATAATACTTAAGATTAATACTTAAGATCATAACTACTTAAGATTGTGTGAGGTGTTGTGTTTTAATTTTTCAAATGCTTAGACTCAGAAAACAAAAAGGTTCTAACTCCAAAGTCAAACTCTAACGTAGTTCCATAAGGAACTCTTTGCGAGCCAATCAGCACTTCAAATACACACGAGGTCCAGTCAGGTTCTGCTTCTTTGTCATGTCACTGCTCTGCTCAGTGACTGCGAGAAGTTTTTAAACTTAATGAAAAATGAAAACATGTTGCTGAATCTGCCTGTCGTCTTTCAGTTCTTTAAAAAGTAATTAAAGTAATTAAATCGTGTACATTTGAATCGATGCAGTCTTAATCACTACATAAACATTAATTTCATTCATTTATCCATCACCTTTCTGATATAAAACAAAACCTCACACTACTGTTAGACTGACCTGCTACACTTACTTGCTGGGACAGTTTATTACACTAGTTGGTTGCTGTCTAACCTAAAGGAAACTAATTTTAGGTTTTTACCTAAAACTGACCTCTGCACTGGAAAAAATATTTAGCACTGACCTTTATACTAAATCTGCAGTGCTTTTTTGAATAAGAAATAGATGAAATAAAATTTGAAATATGCCAGGAAAAATAAATTAATAATACGAACAAGTATCATAAAAATGTCATAGAAAGCATTAAATTTAATGTTCTGATATATTTAGACACAAGTAAATTGTTTGTGTTCCTTTAAAATCATAGCTTCTTTTCATGTTTTGCCAGATAAAATCTTATAACTCCAAACAAAAAGTGAGTTCTTAGGATTGGAAGATTCTGTCTGCATTTGACCTGTTCCAAAAAACTCTTTTATACATTTGATAGGATTTCAAGATTGTATATTTAGAATAAATTTAGGGTGTCTTTTATTTTTGTGTATGAAAGAAACATGTTCCACACAGAAGTTTTGCTATTTGGAATGTAAAATCTTTGAAGCGCAGAATCTCAAAACTACTCAGGACGCAGATAGAACCTTGTAATTCCGAGGGGATAATGTTAATGATAATGCATTATTAAGCATTGACTGACAACGCAGTTACTTACCTTGTACTAATACTATAATTTTTCAGCATTTTGTAAACATTTGGCACTGCTGTTTTGCTGGTGCATTGTGTCTATTACCAGCCTGTTGGCAAACCTCAGAAGATTTAAATGTTTAGATCCATATTGTGCTCTGTAAAGATGTACTCAGGGATCACAGCATGTTCACGCATCCCTGTCCATTTTAAAGCCATCTTCCTTGATCACAGTATGATCATTCATCCCTACATGCCTGTCCATTTTAAAGCCGCCCTACCTTGCCCTATGAGTTAAAAGTCCTTTTTAAAGGACTGGCTTCCTCTAGAGCCGCTCCACTGGGTTTGTTCAAGGCTGTTGGTCCTGAGTCTGTGCTTTGATGCTCATCCAGCAACCTGCTGTTGCTGTGATGCTCACGCTTGCTCTGTTCAGGTGGTGAAATCAACATGTTGGCCCTGAGGACTGCATTTATTACTACATCCTACCTCTCAGCTCTCCGTTTGAGGAGCTCTCAGCCCCAGTCCTCAGCGCTCCCTGTAAATCTGCTTGTTTTTCCAAGTTTCCAAGTTCCAATCATTGCAGGGAGAACTACTCATCTACCTTTGGTGTGTTGTGAGGGTGTGAAGATTTAAATATGTAATAGAGTTTGAAGCAGTGTACAGAAATTTAAAATGCTCACACACCACTTGGCCCCTTCCAGGGGTCTCTTGTGTGTTATCGTTACACTGTTGATGATCAAAACTAGGCATCTGGGAGAGGGCGGGGCTTACATTACACACACACACACACACACACACACACACACACACACACACACACTTTTTTGTAAATCAATTATGAATTCTAGAGGTTGTGATTTTGAGGGTTTATTTTGCTACAGAGTGATGCAGGAGCATTAAAAATGTTGTTTTATGTGAGGACTTTCATTTTTTGCACCAAAGCAGTCAGGTTTAGTATACAGTTAAGTATACATGTTAAGACACTTGTAACACAAGTTATGAAATATTTAATTGATTTACTTAATTCACATCAATCAGCATAGTATCTGTTGCAGTACAGATGCTGTGGCATAGACCTTAACTCAGTTCAGTTCAATATGTATTTATATAGTGCTTTGATAATGGATATACAATATAAATAAGAAAAGAAATGAGCTTTAGATTGGACAGAAGTATTTAGATTAACCAAATACTAGTAACTACTGTTGGAATCTATCAGTGAGAATAAAATCCATGAAAACTAATGACTACTGCTAGAAGCTTGTTGTGATGACACATTAGAATGAATATAAAGAACTCAAAATAGTCCGGGGGTCGGCAACCCAAATGTTAAAAAGATCCATTTTGTCCTTTCAACAAAAAATCAAACCACCTTGGGAGCCACAACATTTTATGCCCATTTTATTGAAATAATGTTTTGCCATCTTGGCTGTAAATACGTCTCTGTATGTGCTAATGTGTTAGTATAGGCTAAAAAATATAAACGAAAACACAGACTTACTTTGTTCTGCTTTAAGCTTTAGCTCAGTTATAGCCGCTTTTCTCGCATCTCCAGCAGGATACTTTTCTGCAGAATGTCTCTCAGTGCTCAATTTTTTACTCATTCACCAGCTTCTCGTTCTAATTTTCCTGTTCCACCAGAATGTAACTGCTGCCCCATTTAAGGTGCAACGGGAAAACTCAAATGAGAAGCTGGTGAGCATGAAGCTGACTTCAGCCTCGACTTTTTAGTGTTTGTCAGTTTTTCGTTGCAGATTAAAGAGATCAGAAAACCAGCTGGAGTGATTATAAATGCAGACAAATCCATTCGTCTGCAAATTATTGATGTTCATCTTAAATTTTTCTCCAGTGTTAAGGACCATTTATTGTTAAAACAGTTAAAACAATCAGCAGAGCTTTATTTACTGCAAATGAGGATTATTACTATCTTAAAAACTAATTGTGCTTTGGAGCTGCAACAGTGCAGTAAAAAAGCCGCATGTAGCTCCGGAGCCACGTGTTGCTGACCCCTTTTATAGTGTGAGGCACGGAAACAATGTCTAGGATTCAGTAGTTTTAATTAGAGTCCCTGCAGTCACCAGTATCATGGAGAGGGTGAGTGGGGCATGCAGGTGGGGTTTGTGCACCGCAGAAAAGTGAACGAACATGGTGGTCGAATTGGTCCCGAGGGCAGATGAGCAGGGCCACTCTTTGGAGGCAGACCTGAGAGCATGGGCAGTTGTTCAGCTCAGCAAAAGAGCTCATACAGTTAGTTCTGTTTTGGGTGACTGAGTGCAAAATCTAGTGTTAGCTTGCAAGCAGAGACTCCAGCAGGCCTAGCTATTACAGCAAAACTAAAAAGGAGAGCCTAATTAAAAGGGCTCCCTGAGATGTCAGCGCCCCTCCACTCCAACGTCAACAAACCTGAGAGAGCAACGGGGCACAGAACTAGATTAGACTCATCGAATATATAGCGGTGTGCACGGGCATGAAATTGAAGCTCGAAACCAACCCACTACTTGGAGACCTGACCCGACCTGCTCCGACTGGCACTGCTAAATTTGAAACCCGCTCACAGGCGTTAACAGAGATGGGTTATCACTGACACGGTTTTACAGTTCTTACACCCCTAAATGTGACACTGAAGGCACAACATAAATGATGTAACGGCTTGGTCATGTTTCCACAATGATATCCCTCAATGATTTGGAGTTTTAAACAGTTCCCCTTTAGCAGGCTTTCTTTTTATGTCATTTGTGGCAAACAGCTACTAAAGCTGACTTTATTATGCACATAAAAGACTGTACTAGAGAGAAAATGAATGGGAGAAAATACATGAGTGCAAAAAAATGACAGAGGCATATTCCTTTAAATGGACACAAATCTAGTACATACAAAAATTTGCTACTTATTTATTGTACTTAAGTATCACATCATATTGTACGTATTAGGCTTAAAGTAAAAACTAGTTGGTGTGGTCCAACCGTTCTGATGTAGTAACACATAAACCTGAACTTAGTAAATACATATCTTTATAACGAGCCGCATGTGTGTATGGCTGGTGCCACGTGGTACAGCATTTGAAATAATATGAGGATGGTTGACAAGTGATAAGACACCTGATGCAGAATACAGAAATGCATCAGTCTTGGCTCTAGTAAAACGGATCCTATGCCAAACTCCAAATTTAATCAGAAGGCAGGAAGTGCAGGATGTGGCGAAATCTGTGTGACTTCTGATCATTAAAGCAATAGATAAGCTCACCCTCATTTGTGTCTTGTGACTTTGCATCTGTGCTTTGGTGATTCTGTTGTTTCTTGACAATGAATTCTCCCAAATTTCCACATGGCTCATTTACTAGTCTAGAGCAGTGTATGCAGGGCGCAGTGCTGACCATGCATTTTAGCTTAATATCTCCCGGCTGTCTGCAAGATCCTGGTACGTTTGTTCCAAAGATTGATGACTCCAA